GATGTAGGATCGCTATGTCTCGCTTTTGCGACAAAAGTCGCAGGCTGGACAAAAAGAAAATATTCAAAGATCTTTCTCTTGTATATATATATATATGTATATGCTCGGAAAAGGGACCTTTAACATGTTTAATTGGATTCAATAAATATTCTTATTCTTATTCTTATTCTGTATATTCAAACAATTGTCACAAATTATTTGTGACTTTCCGTCCTGTGAATTTTTGTCCTGTAACTTTTTGTTCATTTACCGTTTGACAACCATCTGTTAAAATGTTTAAAAAAAACTGATCATGTTATTTCAAATATTTTGTAACCCTCCTTCCCCATGTATGTAACCATTGTAACCTGATTTCCCATGCATGTAACCATTGTTATCCTCAATCCCCATGTATGTAATCACTGTAATCCACATTCTCCATGTATGTAACCATTGTAACCTGTCTTTCCCATGCATGTAACCATTGTAACCCTCAATCCCCATGTATGTAACCATTGTAACCCTCATTCTCCATGTATGTAACCATTGTAACCTGACTTTCCCATGATGTAACCATTGTAACCCTCATTCTCCCTGTATGTAACCATTGTAACCTGACTTTCCCATGATGTAACCATTGTAACCCTCAATCCCCATGTATGTAACCATTGTAACCCTCATTCCTCATGCATGTAACCATTGTAACCCTCCTTCCCCATGTATGTAACCATTGTAACCTGATTTCCCATGTATGTAACCATTGTAACCCTCATTCTCCATGCATGTAACCATTGTAACCCTCCTTTCCCATGCATGTAACCATTGCCATGTATGTAACCATTGCAACCTGATTTCCCATTCATGTAACCATTGCAACCAGCAATCCCCATGTATGTAACCATTGTAACCCTCATTCTCTATGTATGTAACCATTGTAACCTGATTTCCCATGCATGTAACCATTGTAACCAGCAATCCCCATGTATGTAACCATTGTAACCCTCATTCTCCATGTATGTTACCATTGTAACCTGACGTCCCCTTGTATGTAACCATTGTAACCTGATTCCCCATGCATGTAACCATTGTAACCCGACTTCCCCATGCATGTAACCATTGTAACCTGATTTTCCATGCATGTAACCATTGTAACCTGATTTCCCATGCATGTAACCATTGTAACCCGACTTCCAATGCATGTAACCATTGTAACCTGATTTCCCATGCATGTAACCATTGTAACTCAACTTCCCCATGCATGTAACCATTGTAACCTGATTCTCCATGTGTGTAACCATTGTAAACCTACTTCCCCATGCATGTAACCATTGTAACCTGATTTCCCATGCATGTAACCATTGTAACTCAACTTCCCCATGCATGTAACCATTGTAACCTGATTCTCCATGTATGTAACCATTGTAACCCTACTTCCCCATGCATGTTACCATTGTAACCTAATTTCCCATGCATGTAACCATTGTAACCTAATTTCCCATGCATGTAACCATTGTAACCTGACTTCCCCATGCATGTAACCATTGTAACCCGACTTCCCCATGCATGTAACCATTGTAACCTGACTTCCCCATGTATGTAACCATTGAAACCTGACTTCCCCATGTATATAACCATTGTAACCTGATTTCCCATGCATGTAACCATTGTAACCCGACTTCCAATGCATGTAACCATTGTAACCTGATTTCCCATGCATGTAACCATTGTAACTCAACTTCCCCATGCATGTTACCATTGTAACCTGATTCTCCATGTATGTAACCATTGTAACCCTACTTCCCCATGCATGTAACCATTGTAACCTAATTTCCCATGCATGTAACCATTGTAACCTAATTTCCCATGCATGTAACCATTGTAACCTGACTTCCCCATGCATGTAACCATTGTAACCAGCAATCCCCATGCATGTAACCATTGTAACCTGACTTCCCCATGTATGTAACCATTGTAACCTGACTTCCCCATGTATGTAACCATTGTAACCTGATTTCCCATGCATGTAACCATTGTTACCCTGATTCCCCATGCATGTAACCATTGTAACCCTCCTTCCCCATGCATGTAACCATTGTAACCTGATTTTCCATGCATGTAACCATTGTAACCTGATTTCCCATGCATGTAACCATTGTAACCTGACTTCCCCATGTATGTAACCATTGTAACCTGACTTCCCCATGTATATAACCATTGTAACCTGATTTCCCATGCATGTAACCATTGTAACCCGACTTCCAATGCATGTAACCATTGTAACCTGATTTCCCATGCATGTAACCATTGTAACTCAACTTCCCCATGCATGTTACCATTGTAACCTGATTCTCCATGTATGTAACCATTGTAACCCTACTTCCCCATGCATGTAACCATTGTAACCTAATTTCCCATGCATGTAACCATTGTAACCTAATTTCCCATGCATGTAACCATTGTAACCTGACTTCCCCATGCATGTAACCATTGTAACCAGCAATCCCCATGCATGTAACCATTGTAACCTGACTTCCCCATGTATGTAACCATTGTAACCTGACTTCCCCATGTATGTAACCATTGTAACCTGATTTCCCATGCATGTAACCATTGTTACCCTGATTCCCCATGCATGTAACCATTGTAACCCTCCTTCCCCATGCATGTAACCATTGTAACCTGATTTTCCATGCATGTAACCATTGTAACCTGATTTCCCATGCATGTAACCATTGTAACCTGACTTCCCCATGCATGTAACCATTGTAACCAGCAATCCCCATGCATGTAACCATTGTAACCTGACTTCCCCATGTATGTAACCATTGTAACCTGACTTCCCCATGTATGTAACCATTGTAACCTGACTTCCCCATGTATGTAACCATTGTAACCTGACTTTCCCATGTATGTAACCATTGTAACCTGATTTCCCATGCATGTAACCATTGTAACCCGACTTCCAATGCATGTAACCATTGTAACCTGATTTCCCATGCATGTAACCATTGTAACTCAACTTCCCCATGCATGTAACCATTGTAACCTGATTCTCCATGTATGTAACCATTGTAACCCTACTTCCCCATGCATGTAACCATTGTAACCTAATTTCCCATGCATGTAACCATTGTAACCTAATTTCCCATGCATGTAACCATTGTAACCTGACTTCCCCATGCATGTAACCATTGTAACCTGATTTCCCATGCATGTAACCATTGTAACCTGACTTCCCCATGCATGTAACCATTGTAACCTGATTTTCCATGCATGTAACCATTGTAACCCTACTTCCCCATGCATGTAACCATTGTAACCTAATTTCCCATGCATGTAACCATTGTAACCTAATTTCCCATGCATGTAACCATTGTAACCTGACTTCCCCATGCATGTAACCATTGTAACCAGCAATCCCCATGCATGTAACCATTGTAACCTGATTCTCCATGTATGTAACCATTGTAACCCTACTTCCCCATGCATGTAACCATTGTAACCTAATTTCCCATGCATGTAACCATTGTAACCTAATTTCCCATGCATGTAACCATTGTTACCTAATTTCCCATGCATGTAACCATTGTAACCTGACTTCCCCATGTATGTAACCATTGTAACCTGACTTCCCCATGTATGTAACCATTGTAACCTGACTTCCCCATGCATGTAACCATTGTAACCCGACTTTCCCATGCATGTAACCATTGTAACCTGATTTCCCATGCATGTAACCATTGTTACCCGACTTCCCCATGCATGTAACTATTGTTACCATCATTTCCCATTTATGTAACCATTGTTATCCCAAAACCATATGTATTATATCATTGTAACCTGACTTCCACATGCATGTAACCATTGTAACCTAACTTCAATGTGTATGTAATCATTGTAATAGCTCTACCCCTACCTATTCAGTTTGCAGCAGAAATGGTCAGTTATAATGCCGGTATTGCATATCATTTAGTAAAGGTCCATGTGTGTAACCAATGTAACCAATGTAACCATTGCTTCAATGGGGGTAACAAAACAAGATACCTATATTCAGGTGCACATTTTGTGCCATATCTACCTTACGGTGACCTATAATTGATTAATTCCATGTCATTTATACGTCTCATTGGCAATCATACCACATCTCCTTATTTGACAATGTCATGAATGTATATGGTATGACCTAAAAAAGGTCAAATCAGGGTGAAGGTAGAAGTGTTTCATGGGAAGAATGATAATGAGTTTGGTTCATTTACACAAAAATATAGCAAAATTGTTTAAGATATGATTTGCCATACAAAGTTTACATACTGGATAGATAATTTACCCAGATTGCAAGTTATTCTGAATAAAGGTAAACACACAAGCCCATACATAAAGTATATTATTCAACTATTTAGTGTGATTGCCTAGATTCATATTCAATTTGTATGCATTTAATTTGCCACTGGACATTAAACAGACACCCATTTGATCACCAAAAAGATCAGGTGATTAATCAATTCTTGTATGTACATGTATGTATGTTCATGTGCATTGCATATGATAACTGGTTCCAGATTCCCCAGTTGTACCTCTTACCCAAGATATTTTTTTTTCTTTAAGCCCTGTTACACACAGGACCTTGACCTTGTTGAGTGTTGATTTTTTTTACTGGTACATTTTTGTACTTTTTTGTTTTCTTGTTGTTTTGTTTCAAACTATCAAACTCAATAATAGCTGCATTTAAATAAATCATAAAATGAAACTATTAGTTTACAAACATTGAATAATTATAAGACTATGCGTCTGAAAAAGATACGACACGACACGATAAATAAAGATTAATAAAGGTAAAAGTTCATTTATATAGTCTATGTCAACGCCCCCTTGGTAGAATTGTAATTTTTCGTTCTACAAACAATAATCAATCATTAAAAAATTCTGGATTGAAATTAAAAGAACTTGTTTTCCAGGTAAATAAAATTCATGAAGCGAGGCCCTGACGTCATCTTAAACTTTGTCAAGTCCTAAAAAATTACCTTCCAACTATGGCTTTGCTTTGCAGTTTGTAAAAGTTGTCATCATTGTCAAGCTCAGCAGACTCATACAAAGAGTTGATATCTGTAACAATTCCAGAATCTCCCATCTGAAGATTCAATGCTTTACACAAAATTCACTCTAAATAATATTTATCTTCTAAACAAAATGTCGTCTCCGAGCTTCCCGTTTCAGTGTATAGTTCATGTCACGTTAGGTTTTTATCCAATGAAAATTAACAATGTAAATTGTCTTCTATATTTAGAAAATAACGTCAGGAAGGGAAAAACCAAAAATTGAGAGGCACACAAAGGGAAAACGAAGTGAACTGCTAAAATCTTAACATGTTAACATTATTTTTGTTTCGCAGAATTTTCAAGTTTTTCCTTTTACAACCGCAGCATAAATATAGTGTTCACCTGGAAGATATACTATCAGAGACATATAATAAATGTATGATATGTCTCTGATACTTGCCATCGTAACTTCATCCGTTTTAAACGAATCCGGGTCCGTTCGCTCCCATTCACGTTCGCACCCTTTTGATTGGTTTTGTGTTGAATAATTTTTTTAATCGAGTTTAGTTAGTGTTTTGCTATAAATAAGTTTTTTTTTTATTGTTTCAAAATAAAGTGCCATTCTATAAATAACAACGAATAACACAAAAACCGGGCCACAAATCAAATGTTTTCAGGTGTTCATGGTGTTGTATATCAGCTAAAGAGCGTTTATTTCCATGTGTGAAGATTAAAGTTACCAATATATATATGTACTTATAGATATATGCTGATAATTTAACCGGTATTTGAATACAAATAGGGCGCGAACGGACCGTGGCCCAGGGGGCGAACGTGCTGGATGCGAACGTGTAGGGTGCGAACGTGTATTGGGAGCGAACGGACCCGATACCGTTTTTAAGAATACCCAGAGAAAGAAACCTTTTTCCATCATAACGGAAAATCTGCTGGACAAATTGATTATTTTTTCTCAGCAAGTAAAGACCTAACACAATATGTACAGATCTTAGATATGGAAGCAGAAAACACATCCGACCATGTACCTGTCATAGCTACAATCAAGAGAAAACTAATTAGGAAACCCAACAAATCAAAATCAGTCATTGTAAGAACAAAATGGGAAAAATACAATCTACAAAAATATCAACTGACCATATCTGATGGAGTGGAAAAAATACTTCAAGCTAGTAACAAAAATATAGAGGAGGACATCACATCTATAGAAAAGGTAATGCATAATGCATGCAATGAGGCTATACCGAACTACAACAAATCAATAAGAACAAAAAGCACTGGGAAATCCCTTTGGAATAAAAATATATCAGAAGCATCAAAGAATACTAAGGAAAAACATGTCTTATGGAAAAATAGAGGAGCACCAAAAGACAAAAATAATCCTCTAAAATCACAGCTAACAGCAGCCAAAAGGTTATTACGAAAGGCTCACAGACAAGCATATGCCTCGCAAAGAGAAAAATTGGCAAACCAGATAATGACAGCATCTTCCTCAGACAATAAACTCTTCCACAAATTACTGAGAACGCAAAGGTCAGATGGAAACCGATTTACAAAGACGCTACGAAGAGATAATCAGACGGCTGAAACAAACGAGGACATTCTTCATATGTGGACAGATTATTTCTACGAGCTATCAAATCCAGACTATAGGCAGGATTTTGATTACAAAAAATATGAGCTCTCATCTCTGCAAAATACAATAATCAAAAAGATAGAAAAGGGGAAAGCTAAAATTGAACCAATAAGAGAGGAGGAAATACATGATGCTGTAAAAAGACTTAAAAACGGGAAATCCTCAGATATCGATGGAATCTCAGCCGAACACTACAAAAACGCTGAGACTGAGCTTCTACCGCCCATATTGCATATCCTCAATACAGTAATAGAACAACTTGATATCCCACAGATGCTGAAAGGAGGAATAATGACACCAGTATTGAAGAAAAATAAGGACCGTCAAAACCCGGCAAACTATAGAGGAATAACAGTGACCAAAATCTTCACTAAAATCCTTCAGAGTGTACTCAAATCCAGAATAGATATAAAGATCCACCAAATCCAAAACCAGCTACAACGAGGATTTACGGAAGCAATACCCATGATATTTGCCGCATTCCTGGCATCAGAAGTCATAATACAATCTAGTGAAGACGACCAGGAAGTCCTATTACTAACCTTAGATGCAGAAAAGGCTTTTGACAAATTGGAACATGAGATTCTATTCAACAAGGTCTACCACTATGGTATTGACGGTGACATGTGGATCCTACTCCATAATATGTATAGAGAAATGAGCATTAGAATTAAATGGGACGATCTTGTTTCTGACAAAATATCTGTCAACCAAGGAATTCAGAAAGGAGCAAAACTTTCGACCTCCCTATACAAATGCTATAATAATGCCATTCTAGATAGTGTTACAGAAAGTGGATTAGGATGCCATATGGGGACAACAGGCATTGCTACACCTACATGTGCAGATGACATTTTAGTACTAGCAAACTCTGAATGTGAACTACAAGGCATTATGGACATTGTATACCACCATACACAGAGGGACCTGGTCAAAATCAACCCACAGAAATCGGATCTTGTATGCTATAATACCAAACAGGACAGAGTAGTAAACATTGGCAACTCTCAGATAGGTAGGAGTGAAACTGCAAAACACCTAGGTATAACCAGAAATGAAAAGAATACAATTGATATTGATGAAAAACTGAAAGTAGGAAGGGCCACTATTTATGGTATGTTAGGAGCTGGTCTCCATATAAGGAAAGGTTTCTCTCCTCTTGTATCCCACAATCTGTGGAAGGTATATTCTGTTCCAAAAATGACATATGGGTTGGAGGTCATGCCAATTAAGAAAAAAGAAATGGACCAAATGGAAACAATGCAACGGAAAATCTTAAAGCAGTTACAGGGCCTTCCCAATCAGGTAGCCAACACAGCAGTCTACACATTAATTGGAGCAGTACCAATCCGTATGGTGATAGACAGAAATATGCTATCCTTGTTGATGAACATAATAAGAAACAATAACTCATTAGAATTTCAAATCCTGGAACGTCAAGTTGCAATGAAAAATGAAAAAAGCAACATATTTATAAATAGAGTAGAGGAAGATCTGACAAAGTACAGGATGGAACCGGTTGAGAATCTTATGAAACACCCAAAATCAAAGGAAAAATGGGAAAGGATAGTTAGATATCATCAAAATAAATACTGGCATGAAATATGCCTTGAAGACCAATCCAATAAAAAGACATTGGCATATCTTCAAATACAGGAAAACCCATCATTTATGCCGCATAATATCTGGCAGTGTACAGGAAACAATCCTACAAATGTGAAAACAGGAGAAATAAAGAGCAGGCTAGTAACACAAACGTATATGCTACAGACAGTTAGGTCTAAACACAATAAGAATATATCCGCAATATGTACATTGTGTAATACAGCAAATGAAGACCTAGAACACTTCATACTCTCATGCAATAGGCATACGCATACACGTGAAATGCACCTCCAGAAAATAAAATTATACCTGGACAACTTAATGAATGGTCTCTATCAGAACTTAGTTAACTGTAACATGCTTGTACAAATTCTGATGGACTGTACTCACAAAAGCATTAACTACGGATTCCATATGAAACATCAACAATACATAGAGCTAGAAAACCTCACACGACTGTTCTGCTACGACATGCATACCAATAGAATGAGGCAGATGGCAGGGTAGGGGTGAGGGTGTAGTGACAGTTTATGTAGAAGCATATTATTTATTAAAAAAAATAACGACAATCCGGCTGGCTATTTACCTACATGTATCGTTTATTTGGCCATTTTACAGCATAGTACTTTAACATTCTCTTTTCCTGCATATTTACCGCATAGTGCTTTAGTGTACCTAAATTTAGAATACATCTACATATTCTGCAGATGAACGCATATATCCAATATTAACAGTATGTCCAAAATATAAGACATTAACATTTAGTGCTTTCCTATAGACTGCTATAAAGCTAATGTATATATTCGCACACCTAGCATAAATTAGCAACTAGTATTTTAAGCATGGAGCAGTGAAGATGATCACATCCGTCTTAATCGTAACTTCACTGTAATGTACGATGTATATAATATGTAAATAACAACACAGTATTTGTGCAGCACGCTTTTACCGTTACCGTTATATATATATATATATGCATGAATTGGTGGATTAGTGGCACGTTCCTTTGTGTGTAATATGAGTTTTTAGTGGGTGCGGGTGTATATTTGTATATAGCGCATTAGCCATCCTACTATGTAGGAGTGCGCAGATCTAGAACGGCGATTCATACCTGTAGAAAGAAACAAACTATCATTCCATTAAAAAAAATTGAGATTAAACGTGTCATTTAACAGAACTGTTTATTGAGGCTGGGACATAAACAAGTATAATATTCCCAGATTGAGAGTTAAGAAAACAATAGAACAATATTTTTTGCCTTAACAGATGCACAAAAGGCGTTCGATATCGTTTGGCATGACGGAATGTTTAGAAAAATGTTTAAATCTAAAATAGAGGGTGATACTAGTGGCTCCTATTTATAAAGAATTGTACAACAATATACAAACAAATATTTATTGACAAGGACAATTCACACGTTCTTTCCCAGAACTGCAGGATGTGAGACAAGGCGTGTCAGCATGAAATAGACATGCCATCTCATAATCAATGATAAGTTCCAAATGGACGAAATAGTATTTCAACTGGAATAAATATTATTGTATTTGTTCCTAACGGAATACAGATATAGTATATGTGTTCCTAACGGAATACAGATATAGTATATGTGTTCCTAACGGAATACAGATATAGTATATGTGTTCTTAACGGAACAGATAATTTGGCATTGTTTATAACAAAGTTTCCCAAGTGGAACTTCTGTAAGGCGGAATATATATATACGTTTACAGGCGGACTGTATGGTCCCCTGCTGCTTATTAAATCTTTTTTAACTCATTATTGAAAATTTATGAAACCGAACATCTATAGGTGCACGTAAAGGCTCATTTGTGGAGTGCCAACGGTAGCAGATGATGTGACCTAATTTCAAATGACCCGTTCGAACTCCAAACCATGCTTGCTATTCAGATGATTATGCAAATAAATAGAGATACATTATTGG